CAGGTCTACCAACCTCTTCCAATTGCAGGGGTAGACCTGGACTCCCCCGGAGGAGGCCAGGTCTACTCACCCCCACCCCGCCCCTTCCCCTTCCCACATTCCAAGGGGCGGGGCCCGCGGGAGGGAGGAAGAGGAAGCAGAAGGCAGAGGTAAGTACACCCCCGTCCCCCTCGGCTCTTCCCCCCACCCCGCCTTCGTGGCGAGGCCTCGGGAGGCTTCAGCCGCCCGGGCGTCGCTGTTTCCCCCCCCGCCGCCCTGCTCCGCGGCCGCCCGCCCGGCGGCGGCGGCAGCTCCCCCTCCCCCCGGCTCCAAGCCGAGGGCCGAGCGGCTGGCCGCTCGGCCCTCGCCGGTCAGCCCCCCCGCTCGCCGCTTGCCTTCCAAGCGGCGGCGGCGGCGTTGGCGTTCGTAGAGCGTTCCGTGCGCAGGCGCACGGAACGCTCTTGCACTTTCGGGGGGATTTAAACATCCCCCCAATATTTTTTTTTAGTTTTTAGATTTTTGTGCACCCCTGGGGACTGCCCCAAGAGTGCACAAACCTCCCCCTCCCCCCCAAGTGCCCTCGGAGCGCTGATTTAGCGATCCGCACTCCGGGGGCCACTTGGCAATTAGATATATAGATATGGAGCAGAGGTCCATTGGGGGCTATTAGCCACAAGGTATAGATAGGGACTCTGGGGCAAGTGATGCTCTGTATTTTTGGTGCTGGGGGGGGGGTTTCAATAGTGGAAGGGGTTCTAATGTCCTGGCCGCACTGCTGGACCTCCTGATGGCCCCTGGTATTTTTGGCCACTGTGTGACAGACAGAGTGTTGGAATGGATGGGCCACTGGCCTGATCCAACATTGGCTTCTCTTATGGTCCAATTAGTAGTATATGTGCTGCCGAAGCGAGCACTTCTCTTATGGTCTTATGTACAGAAAGCAAAACTGAGAAGGATCTGCCCCAAGGGGAAGGAACAAGTAAAGGGAATAAGGAGTGAACGGGAACAACCAGGAGCTGGCAAGGTCGACATTCTGCTGAATCAGACCCTTGGTCCCTCAAAGTCAGTATTAGTTGTTGTAGATTTTCCGGGCTGTCTGGCTGTGGTCTTGGCACAAACTCATTGTAGAACCTGATGTTTCGCCAGCATCTGTGACTGGCATCCTCAGAGGTATAACACAGAAAGATGGAGTACTCTCCGTGTCAGTGTAAGAAGAAAAGCGGCAGGCAGGTAATTTATATCTACTCAGGAAGGTTGGGCAGGGCTGAGTCATTCTCTTGTAGGAGTTCCCCAGGCTGTGACATGCTAATGGAGGAGCTTTCCTGAGGAGGTTCTTTTGCATATGGATGGGCTGTTGAAATTCTAATCTTATCTGCAGTGCTATTGTCAGATGCAGAGCATTTTGTGTTTTTCGGGACAGGAAACCATGCCCTAATTATTTTTCAACTCTCTTCTTTCCTGTTGAAAATTTTTCTGAAGTCAGTATTATCTGCTAAGACTGGCAGCTGCTCTCCAGGGTTTCAAGCGGAGGTCACTCACAAGCCCTACTCCCTGGTCCTTTAAACTCAATGTCCCAGGGGTTGAACTCGGGACCTTCTGCAGGCCAGTATGTGGTCTCTGAGAGAATAAGCTCTGATCTGGGAGGCCCAGAGCTGCAGTTACCCCTTGAACAGCAGGTGGTCGTACGTAAGCCGTTCTCTCTGTCTCTCTCTCTCTCAAAGCCGAAGAGCCAGCGCTGTCCGAAGACGTTTCCGTGGTCATGTGGCCGGCATGACTAGGCACCAAGGTGCATGGAATGCTGTTCCCTTCCCACCGAAGTGCTACCTATTTATCTACTTGCAATTTCTTGCTTTCGAACTGCTAGGTTGGCAGGAGCTGGAACTAGAGACGGGGGCTCACTCCGTCATGCGGCACCCGGGTCTCAAACTGCTGAACTACCGACCTTCCACAGCCTGCAGTTCAGCATCTTAACCACTTGAGCCACCGCAACTCCTTATACCTTGTGGCTAATAGCCACTGATGGACGTCTGCTCCATATGCTTATCCAGGGGTCATTTCCGCAGGAGCGCTCAGGAGCGGAGCTCTGGCAGTAAAGAGCCCAGGGGGAGGGCACATGCAACAAGCCCCACCCCCGGCTCCCAGCAGCCCTCAGTCAGAGCAAGAAGGAGCCAGGTAAGATGCAGAGGCCCCACAGTCCAAAACAGTCCAGTGGCACCTTTAAGACCAAGTTTTATTCCGGTACAAGCTCTCCCTCCTCTGCAAGAACAGATCTGCACGTTCTCCCCCCCCCTCCCAATTAGCTAGCAATCCAAATCAGTTCAGTGGAGCCTGAGCGGTGGGTGTTGCCTTCTGACACACTTCCGGTGATGTCAGGGTGTGTGGCATATGCAAATAAGTTATGCTAATGAGCTCCTGCACCTCTTTTTCTATGAAATGACCCCTGTGCTTATCTAATTCCCTCTTGAAGCCGTCCATGCTTGTAGCCGCTGCCACCTCCTGTGGCAGTGAATCCCATGTGTTAATCACTCCTGGGAAGAGGTAGGATTCAACCTCTCAACTTGGCATTCAGTTCCCTGGGGAAATCTTGGGCCAGTCACATTCTTTGAGCCTAACCTACCTCACAGGGTTGCTGTAGGGTCAAAACCAAAAAAAGAGGAGGCCTCGGATGCAAGAGGGGCGGGATGAAAATGGACCGGAAAGATGGACAAATAGGTAGAGTGACACACACACACCCGCCCTCCCAACCCAAGTGCTCGAATTCTAGGACAGGGAACAGAACTTCTATCCATCCACTTTCTCCAACCGATGCATAATAGCATAAACCACCATGTCGGCCCCCACACTTAATATCTTTCCTCCTTGGCCTCTCCTCCTCCAAGTCTCTCCAGCTGCCCATTTCTGCGCCTTTTCCCACTGGACTATCTCTCTTTTTTGGCATTGTTCTCTTTTTGCATAACTTACAGAAGAGAAGAGAAGATTGGATTTATACCCCGCCCTTCACTACCCAAAGGAGTCTCAGCACGGCTCACAATCTCCTTCCCTTCCCCTCCCCACAACAGACACCGTGTGAGGTAGGTGAGGCTGAGAGAGCTCTCTCAAGGACTGCTCCCGAGAGAACAGCCCTGAAAGAACGTGTGACTGACCCAAGGTCACACCAGCAGCTGCATTTGGAGGAGTGGGGGAATCAAACCCGGTTCTCCCAGATTAGAGTCGGCTCTCCTAACCACTACACCAAACAAGAAGAATTCCAGAGAACTGACATGTGTCTTTGCCTCTCCTTCTCTCTTTGTGGCTTTATTACCTGTCCTAATTAAAAGGCTCTTTGTTGACCCTGCCCGGATTTATTCTAAATGGACCGAAAGGGCAGTATTTGATACTGTCCGTCTGTAACCATGCTCCGAAAGCCCCGGAGACCCAAATCGCCAAGGAGTCTGACGGCACTGGAAAGACCAGCAGATGTATTATGGCACGCACTTTCACACACAGGACTCTTGGGGGGATTTGGGCTGCAGCGGATTCACAGGACTGCCCCCTCCCCCGGAATGGCTCCCAAGGGATCCAAAAGCCACCAGGGCTTTGCTAGCTTCACAAACAGCTGGGCAGAAGAGGGCGGGAGCTCATTCCACATTGCAGCAAGCTAGTTTATCTGGGTGCTTGCTTATTGGGGGGGGGGGTGTCTGTAAAGGAGTGTTTCAGAAAAGCCTCCTTCGACATGAGCCCTTGGCCACCGAGGGGCAGTGTTAGCCTAAAAGAGAGACAGACGGAAGGAAGAAATGCTCCACAGTCGTAATTCCAGATTTCCGGGCCCTCCTTGGAAGTCGGCAACCCGGCAAGCGATCCTTTCATGCCTTCCGCCGGCCTACACAGCTCTAGAACCTAGAGCCTTGCCGATTTCTAATAAAAGCCAAGATGCGGGGGAAGCTGAATTCTGTGCTTGCTACTACCTGAAATCCCG